AACTTGATTTTAAGAACTATTGTACTAGTAATAGGTTACAGTGTAAAGTTCTATTTATTAGTAAAAATGCAACTGTACTTTCAACTTCCCAGGGTGACTGACAAGCGTTTCCAAGTGTTAATACAACGTTGTTAGGCCAGAGGGGTGAGAATGGAAGCAGCGTCAGTTTTAAGAACAAGTCAACAACACGTGAAGAAAACTGAGCTGAAAACGGTGTTCATTTTGAACTGAAAGTAACAAATATCTATTCTGAACATTCAGGTTTGTAAAAAAATCGTTATAAGGCGACGGAGCCCCCCAGTGGCACAGCGGTATGTCGGCGGACTTACAACGCTAGAAACCGGGTTTCGATACCCGTGGTGGGCAGAGCACAGATAGCCCTTGTGTAGCTTTGTGCATAATTAAAAACAAACAAACAACAAACAAGGCGACGGTGTGGAAAAATAAACATTTAAATAGTGCCGCTATGCCATATTGTCGCAAACTGGTCTACGAAACCTGCATGAACAAGCCTGCGAATTTAAACTTCATAAAAGTTGTTTTTGGTTTTAATAAAGGATTTTCCATAATTCAACTACGCAGATTTCGAAAATAATATTAACTTTTTTCTATCACGTAAGGATTGTTTACAAATGGGGAAGAAGGAAAACTCTTACTTAGATTAAATTTACTCAAATATAACAAAATATGTTTGAATAATTTACACAGTCTCTTGTTGCTATAACGATGAATAAATAATATTGAAAATAATGTCAAAGTGCACGCACAAACAAATACTGTCCATAAATGACACGTCATGCGGCCTGTTAACTGTTTATATACTAGCGGTATATGTTTTCTCTCAATTTGATCAACAGTTCAATAACACGAATGACAATGTCCGAGTCTTGGAGGACTGTTGACTTAACCGTTTAGCTGGTGTGTAGCATACGGTGGCGTGCAGGTCGAAGATGCCAAAGACATCATTAATAGACCATCGGGTTTAGCATTATTTGGGGTAAATTATTATATAGTTCATTCTAAAAACTAACAGAAGATTGTATGGTTCTCTTTATTTCATTGAGCGTAAAATAAACAGAATAGCTGCAGTGTAAATGAAGCTTCTTAGATAAAAAAACAACAAACAAACCGGTAAGGAGTTGTTTGTGTTACCAAAACATGTGAACATAATCAAACAGAAACACAAACAACAGACTTTTCGCGTATTCATTTAAATACTTATATATCATAATATACTAATTCGCTGTTACCGGTTTTATTCTATAAGAAGATAAAAAATAACTTTAATAACTATTAAATGCAAGAACCAATCGTTATTTCCAATGAAGGATCTGTTGCTTTGATCTTTTCAAACTGTGTCAAATTAAGTTAGAGATAAACACGTGAGCTCGCGCAAGTATCAGGTAAGTCTGCTTTACAAGGAGATTCGCGCAGGATCTGAATTTAACTAAATGATTGAGACTTAAGATAAGAGAATAAACACACTGGACACGTGACGGAAAGTGGACAAAAGTCTTTATAATAATCACAAAACAAAACAAAAAACGTATTCTCTGGAGACGTGTCTGTAATAAAATAATATTGATCAAACCAACGTTCCTTAGTAAAAAAAAAAAAAAAAAGGTAGCCTCAGTTTTAGCCACAATACGTGTTGCCATGTGACTGGTCGTCCTCATACAACAGAAAATGATGTAGCCTCTAGATATCATCTACTCTGCCAGTGAAGGACATTGCTGTCAATGGCCTGTTCATACAATGTGTGAAGTTTCAGCAACATCCCTGCGGGTAAGGTAGATACTATCTCCTACAAAACAACAAAGACAAGTAAAACGAAACAGTTTCTTAGCTGTTGTTGGTGGGTTTTTTTTTGGTCTTTGTGTTTGTGCCAAAACTGTATAGAAACAGACTAAAAACTAAAATTCCTGTATTGATAAAAGTAGGAAGAAAACATATGATATGCCTGCATATTACATCCACTCAACATTCGCGAATTAATGTTTAAAATGCCCGGTCAAGCAATCAGATAAATAGTTGATTATTTCAAAAACTGTTTGCTGTTGATCCTGTCATTAATTAATTAAGTTTCTCGATATTTCCAACTCCATAACTCTGTCGAATTTCTTGCACAGAGAGAATAAAATAAATGATCACCTTCATTCTACTGTTTAGTCACATTTTTAACGTACCTTGCACTTATAAAATGAGTTTGAATATTACAATAAGCCTGTAGAGAAAACCCAGAATTAAGAGAATGTTCTAGAAAGAGTGCAGCTGGCCAATATACGAAAAACTAAACCATAAAAAAGGCAGTGACAGTAAGTATCACTATATGTTAGAGTAAAAATGAAAAAAAAGTAAGTCCTAAAATTACATTCAGTGTAAATCATATTTCAGTTTCAGCTATTTGTCTTTTTTTTTCTTATAGTAATTTAAAGTCTCCCCACGGAAGTCGCTTCTTGTGTTTCTTACAGCACCACAAACGTCGCTTCCTGTGTTTTTTGTAGTAGTTTAGATGTGCTCCTTTACCATTAGTCATCGTAGGTAGTTTCTACTTATTGCATCTTAGAGGCAACTTTTTGTGCTACTCTCTATACCAGGGATTCTCAAACTGTAATACTTGATGTCGGCGGTACACGACACAATTAACATAAAAAAATCATAAAATTTGTAATAAGCCCTATCTGAGCTTTACACGTACATATACATACTACTCCCCTCACTTACAGTCTCACCCTCTACCTGCATAGACTCGCCAGTATTTTCTTCAGTTGACATAAATGGTATCATATATTCTTCAATCGTGCCAGAAAAAAACAATCGCGTCCTTCGCATTATTTGGCAAGTGTTAAAAATATGAATTTTTGTTACTAGGTTTTTATCTTCTTTTTTTGCCCGAGTTTGTAATTTTTAAAAATTAAACAAAAAGTGGTACATGAGTCTGAAACGTTTGACAACCATTGCTCTATAGGATAAGGTTGGTTGATTGTCTTCCTTAGTACAACCATCAATAATATGTTTAACCGATTCCTCAAGCCTCTTACCGAGTTTGATATTCACAAAAAGCTATCGGAAGTTTACTGGCGGCGATTTTGGGTATCTCAGAAATCGTCCATGTCGTGTTTTTTATCATATAGATTAGTTAATAAATAAATTAATGAATAAATACACAAACAACCAATAATTAGATAACAGTCAGACTAACATTTTTACACTATTAACGTTCCACTTCTCCTTTTTAAAAAATAAAAATATAAATGCTTTTCCCTATTCAACAAAGACCACGTTAAGTTTTTTTTTTCAGTTTTCAATATGATGGCTTCACTTTTCTTTCTTCAGATAAAGGTCTCAGTTGATTATTTTAGAGCAAAGCCACATTCTGCTGTATTCACCGCAGTGAATCGAACTCCGAATTTTATCGTTATAAGTCCGTAAACTTACCGCTATCCCACCGGGGGGACAGATGTCTCAGAAAATGCCTCGTAAAGTCGACGCTACTTTGCCGAAAACAAAAGTGTGTAATTGTTTTACCTTCTACAAGTTTAAATATTTTATATAAACATAAAAAAATTAGTACACATTTTCACCAGTGCCTAACGAAAATAAATTACCTAATGTATAGGCGATACGTCATTTTTCTTGTTTTGTTTTTTCATTCTTTGAATTTACTGTAATTTGATTTGAAATTTTGGTCAAGATCGAAGCCTAACTGCAAGTCGATTAATCTTAAGCAGAAAAAATCGTATTGTAATAACGTTCTTTTACAAATGATATCTTGCCTTGCTAACATAAAAATGACGAGATTGCTATGGCTTGAAGAAATCAAGTTTTATTTAAACGATATAAACATTTAAAGTAAATTGTTTACTTTCAAGAGTACAAAATATGTCAAGTGTACTAAGAGTTGTCTGGTGGTAACAAATGTCATGTGTAAAAAAAAAAAGAGATGTTTCGTGTTATACTCCATAAATTTCTTCATAAAATTGGAAAACATTTTTTTTTATTCAGAAAATTTTTAAGTCTATTTAATGTACTATGTTTCTTCTGTAATGATGAAAATAAATTCAGTTACTCTGTAAATCAGTAAACTAAACCATTCAGAGCTTCTAACTACGAAATATATTTATACATCTGGATATCACGAAGCAAAATATTTCATTTCACATAACTCTCATAGCCATCTGACGTAGTCGCGGGTTCGAATCCCCGTCACACCAAACATGCTCGCCCTTTCAGCCGTGAAGGTGTTATAATGTGACGGTCAATCCCACTATTCGTTGTTAAAGATTTGGCGGTGGGTGGTGATGACTAGCTGCCTTCCCTCTAGTCTTACACTGCTAAATTAGGGACGGCTAGCGCAGATAGCCCTCGTGTAGCTTTGCGCGAAATTCAAACACAAACAAACTGACGTAGTCACCTCTTTAACAAACCTATAAACAAAAGCTTTATTTTAAATTCTATCAATACTCTGATACCAGTAATAGAATATTGTTTGTTTTATATGTAAAAAAAAATAAAAATAGAGTTTGTTGTTAAGCGCAAAGCTACACTGTGGACTATCTGTACAATGAGGGATCGTACGCCAAATTTTAGCGTTAAGGATCTCTCAAGCTTACCGCTGAGGCGCCGTGGAGGGTGTGGTAAACTTCCACACTTTTTTTAATTTCGAGGTTTCGTCACTAGGTGAAACATTTCAAATCCTCCCAAACTAAAGTTCTATACATCGTAGAAGGTTTGAATCCTCGAGAGGATTTTTCTACAGCGTGTAGAGAGGCAAAACTCATAAATGTACATGAATATGAAGAGCCGACCTATGGCACGTTTTTAATGTGTTAGCCAACTTAAAGTACTTGAACTATTCAGTCTCTGGAGCCTATGGCTGAAATGTAAATCCTCCAAGAGATTATATAAATGCAATAATAATTCAGTATGAAAACAAACTAAATTAACTCCGCTCAAATGCAAATCTGCTCCTAATCACATCGACTAATAATAGCATAACATATTCATGCACTGACGCCATCTATTGGTGTAATTCGGTAATAGTTAGCTCTGAAGGAAAACCTTAAACTCAAACATTATAAAAATGGTTGGAGCTTTAACATTTCTTTCTGGTTGCAGGTTATCCACGAATTTCGAAGCTGGCGAACAGGGTTTGAGTACTTTCGATACTACAACGCATTCCCCGAACTATGTCCTATAAGTTACTGTCGTTCCTTTAGCGAAGATGATGGTATGTGGTAGACTACTGACTGACTGACTGACTGGTCAGTAGTTCAAAATTAGTGGCGGCGGAAATAGCAAAATACTACAAAATCAATTGGGAACAAAATATTTGTTTTAAAGTAATCACGTTTTGAATTCTGTATCCGTGTTAGTAAGCCTCATCTCTAACCAGTATCTATGCTTTCTTCTTGTCTTTCCTCAATAAGAGGATTAAGAGGTAACGAGGAGCGCAGTAGATCTCCGTCTTCCACCCGGAACTCGGACACAACTTTGTTTTTTCCCACAGTAACCTCGTGGAACGTCCGGCGTATTCTCGACGGCCGGTTGCTGTGACAGTCTCTTCTTCGAGATGGAAGTGTAAAACCCATCAAACTGATCTGGGAGAAGTTCAGTCCTTCTTCTCTTGTGATCGGTTGGCTCGATGAGGGATCCTGTTGAGGTCTTGTTCCCTCTGAAAGCCAGAAACAATATTATTAGTTAATAATTATAAGACGATCGTTTAAAAGAATTTAAGAATTACATAAAAGTTAATAAAATTGTTAAACTTCAGTATTGTGAAAAGCGAGTTAGTCCTAGTGCTCAGATTAATATATCTAGTTAGCTACACTGATGGCCAGATGGATTTTTGGTTTCACTATTAAGTTACATAGCTTACTCTGGTTGGAAGTTGTTACTGTCTGCATCTATCTCACTCCGAGTGTTGGACTCGTTAGTCCTACTGGATCGGTAACGGAGTAGGAAATGGCCGTTAAATGTACAGGAAAACGTAAAACGAAACAAATATTAACACTGATATTAATTGGTTCGAATTTAGCTGCAAGCTATATTTTAATAACTGCTTTTTCTAAATAATTTTATTTTCATATATGCCGTCCATATTTTAGGTATAAAGATCGCAAGTTACAATGGGAGTTAAATAGAATATGTAAAAAAACCTTAACCCTTCAAATACGTCTCGCACACAACAAATTTAATCGTTACTGCAAAAAAATTTAACCCTAAATTACTTTAAGTAATCACCTTCTTTAAGGGTTAACTTTGTGTTGAAATGTTTCGGTATAATCTAACCTACAGTGTGTGTCACGTCACGCTTGGTTTCTCGAAATAGGAGGAGTCATAAAAGCCAAAATGCATTTATCCAGATGGAGTAGTTCGATTACCGTCTGCCCATTACGATTTTAGTGACGGGGTGCAAGGATGCCGTGAAACCTTGTAAGTGCAGTGAGTGTTGGTATAATAAGCCTAAAGTAAAGAGGTAATGTGGGATCACCTAGCCTAGACAAACGTGCATAAAATGTACCATGAAAGTAAAAATATCG